CCACAGCCACCCCTTGGTTTCAGCAATGACCACTAACGGATATTTAAATGCAACTTTAATTTTACATTGGACCTCCTTGTAAACCTGATTCGAAAAAAATTTGGAGCAAGAAAATATTGATTTATTTTTTAAAATTTCAGTCATGGAATATAGATTTGTACATGTAGACCAACAATTTGAGAGATGGTAGCCAGATATGGATTGGTCTGCCCCCCCCCCATCCCTCTTTGTGATTCTCCTTCCAACCCTGCATGTTTGTTTGTCCCCTACATGTTTGTTTATTGTTCCTCTGTCATTTACTTCTGAAGAAGGCCTGGCTAAGGCTGAAATGTAATGCCACTTTATTTTTGTTTAATGTCAATAACGTTACATATACTATAGAAGATTGATGAACCATATTTGCCTGATCTATCTTCTGTTAATCTGCCCGCCGTCATCATCGCCATTAGCCTATTTGAGAATATGGCTGACACAATAGAAGGGCGCTGTCACAAACTGAATGTGGTGGGCGAGATGTACTTTTAGGATTCATGGTTCAGTGCCCACGCCTCTCTGTGTTTTGTACCGTGCCAGCGTATCGCCTGCATCGTCTACTTTGCTGGGCGATTTACTTGAATATTTTAGTGATTAACAAGTACAACATATTGCCAATATATTAATAGTTTATTGTGATGGCCGTAAACAGCATATAGCTATTAATGGAACACAATTCTTCTCGACTCATGCAAATGCAATTGACATTTAGGAAGGAGACGAGGCAGGCAATTAGACTCTATTTTTGTGTGACCATGGCAGTAGCTCAATTTGTGTTTATCACAGATGAAAAGATGAATACATGGCGAGTCAAACAGAAAGTGACCGTATGATAAAAACAAAATGGCACGCTCCATTTTGTAAAAAATATAATTGGGATAAAGAACATGTTATTGAGTAGTAACTGTGAACATTTCACGTAATTTGCATACTCTATTCCCAAGTCGTGTCTATTTTAATAAAGAGATCACAAAATTCAGCAGTCCACCACTAATACCAATTTAACGGTCTACGAATTGATGAATATCCATTAATAAATATAATGAAAAAAAAAAAGTTTTCCCGCCTCCACGAATAAAGGAAAAATTGAAAAGGAAAATAGAAAAGACCGAGACCACAGCTCCCGAGACCGAGACCGAGACCGGCAAAAAGTGGTCTCGAGACCGAGACCGAGACCGGTCTCGAGACCTACAACACTGGAACTTCGAGCTTGATATCAAGTTGCAAGGGCGGATCCAGGGGGGGGGGGGCCAAAGGGGGCCATGGCCCCCCCCAAAACGAAACCCATTTTTTTTTTTTTAATGTGACATCGCAATAAAGGCAGGAAATGAGTACACCACCATCTTTTCCTCAAAAAAAATTGGTTAAAGTGGTCAGAAATTGCCTCAGATCGCACCACAGAGCATCTAGAATCCAAAAATTTTTCGGGGCCCTCACGGGCCCCGAACCCCACGCCGTAATTTTTGAGACCCACTTTTTTTGGGGGGACCAAATTTTTTTTTGGCCCCCCCCAAAATTGTGTTCTGGATCCGCCCTTGTGTTAATGGACCTTCGTCTCGGTCCATTAACAGCGGTCACCCCCACACCCGGTCATTATCACGCAGTGAAGACCGGCTCCTCACACTGTTATTCCCTTATTATATAACAATTTTACCGATACTGGAATTATGTTTGCCTCGTGGCCGGATTGACTACGGATTTCTGCAATGGGCTTTGTTGAGTGTGGCCCGCTAAAACCTACTGAGGTTTGGAAAAACCATTGGGCTAGCATTTTCTTTTAAGATTTTCCTGCCCAATTTCACCAAATTTAACGTCTGGCTCATTCAATTTAGATTGAAATTGAAAGATCACGCAGATCGTCATTCAACGATCAAAAAGAATCATTCAATTTCACTATCCGACAATTTCACTATCCGAGCGTTCTATCGTCTTTTGGCTTCACTCGTTCATGTAAAAGATGCATTCAAATTAAAAGTAGCTTGTTGTTCATTCAAATTCGTCTGAACCAACAGTGAGGGGTTGATCGGGCATTCATTTTCATTAATGGGCAAACATATTTCACATTCTGGCAAGCATCTTTAAAGACTTCCTGCGTGTCCGTATTTCTATAAAATTCTGAAATATCTCAGAATCCGTAGATGCACACCTCGTCTTTCTTAATTAAAGGGTCTGTGCGATGAATTATTCTTAGGAACCCACTGTACAACGTTCCACTCCTCTTAAACGTATAAAAACTATATATTTCACATCCTTTTTTTGTATAATCATATTGCAAAGTGCACTTCTTTAAACATCTTAAAGTTTCCATGTTTTTCCGGACTACTGAGCGCGCTTTTGCTGTGATGCCGTTTCAGGAAGACACTGTTCAGTTGAGGGATTTTCTGTTCAAATTGTGAACCCAAAATTTGCTCATTATTGAAAACATTTGTGAGAAAGGGTTGCATTGGCTAACTGCCATGTACTTACACAAAAACGAATCACCAAAGAAAGAAATTTATGACAGCAGAATGTCCAACATTCTAGCAACATTTTGTGCTGAAATAGCCGTGTGCCGGGAATAACATCACAGTTTTGCTCATGAATTTAGAACTTTGCATAAGCGTTAAAGCCGAGAAGGCACCAAAAACACCCTTCAAAATGATAAACTAAAAACTTGAAACTTAAAGGTTAAAGGGAATATACAACATTTGCAAACATCGAAAAATAAAACTATCAAGTTTTTACGAAATACCTTGCTAGGATGTAGGTAAATGACAGTCTAAAGCATCCTGTAAAATTATGGCACCTGGTGTGAAGTCATTTTCAAGAAAATGGTATTTTTGTACACATTTCCAACAGTGGTCGGCCGACCACCGTTGGAAAAATCTAACTATTTAGCAACTACTGCTCAAAATTTACCATTTCTTCAGTCCAAATTTTGTTTGCTTATTGGTTACATGTTCATGAACGGGTGCAGGTCAGCTAAACTGGTTCCCTTACCTTACAATTTTCCGGCATCTATAAATGGATCCATTTTATCTTTAGTGGAGTCAGGGAACCAGACTACTTGAACATTTTTGTTTTTCTTGGTTTTTCAAGCATTTTCGAACAGAAAACTTCAAACATGTCAGTGTAACAATATTTTATCTATTATACTAACCCCTAAAATAGTTCATTTCTGAAAATTACAGCAAAAGCCAATGATGTACATTCCCTTTAAATGGGATAGAAAGAGGCATTTTCAATGTTTGCATTAAAAACAGTTTGCATGGACCCTTTAAATAAGTGTTTAGGCAGACATAAGAAGGAATGAACCTAAATGAGTGGAGATGTGTTCGTCTGATGGAAGAGGCCCAAGATAAAATATTTGAGAAATTACCCAAGTGAAGTGTTCCCGACGGTACAACCATAAGCGAACATACATGCCCCGATGTTTTGCACGTCAAGAGATCGATGGGTGAATCAGCGATGAATAAAATAAAACTTACAAAAACAGAACGAAAATAACAGTCAACAAAGTTAAAAGATTAACATATCGACCTAAAGATGTCCCATACATTTTTTAAACAAGTAGAAAAGATCAACAGTGAAAAAAATACCTTTCCCTTTTCATTTCATTATTCGTTACACCATCTATCCCTCATATCAGTTAATTTGTTACATTATAAATTTTACAGTCACAAAGTTTGGAGAAAAAAAACGAACCTCAGAGGAAAAGAGGAAAATATATCAATTAAAAAATCGTACTAATTTGAATGACCAAACGCTGAAAATGATTGCCCATAAACGAATAAGAAAAGAAAAGCATGGTAATTCGTCATATGCGCACCGACGTTCGCTAATTTGAATACATCAATCGTCAAAAGATGTCAACAACTTATTTTAAGAATGCTTCAAATTAATAACTATTGAATGCACCAAAACGAAATAGAATGCTCCAAAACGAAAACGAAAGTCGGAGCAAAATCTTGGGTGCCTAAATATTGGAATTGAATGCCCCAACGGTGAAAAAGAAACCCCAATTTGATCACATGTGTAAAATCACGAGAAATTGAATGGTTGATAATGAAAACGATCTGGAAAAAACAAAACAGTAGGGTTGGGGGAAAATAATCATTAGAAATACATGCGAACCCCCTTTCAGAATTTAGGGGTCGGGGAAAAAAACCATCAGTAGAAATACATAGTACGAATATTTCCCTTTACAGAGTTCAGGAGGTCGGGGAAATCATCATTAGACAACACCATGACCCAAGTTTTTTGAAACTAAAGAAAGGTAGTAGCGACTTAAAAAGGTATCATTAGAAATACGCACGACCCCGCTTTTCAGAATTTCGGCGGTCGGTTAAAAGTATTCATAAGAATACACAGGACCCCATTTTCAGGATTTGGGGGGGTCGGGGAATTATGACATGAATACACGCGACCCCCTTTTCAATATTTTAGGGCCGAACAATATCATTACAAATATTCGCGACCCCACTTTTCAGAATTTAGGGGGGCATACAAAATCATCACTAAAAATACACGCGAACCCCCTTTTTTTGAATTTAGGGGGGGGGGGGTCGGCCAATTTCTTATAAGAAATACATGCGACCCCCTTTACTGTATTTAGGGGGTCGGGCAATTTTATCATAGGAAATACATGCGACCCCTTTTCTAAATTTAGGGGGTCGGGCAATTTTATCGTAAGAAATTATACTCGACTCCCATTTTCTGAATTTTAGGGGGACGGACAATTTTATCATTAGAAATAGAGGCGACTTCCCCCTTTCTGAATTTAGGGGTTTGGACAATCAGAATTCGTTGACCCTCAAAACATGGGTTTAGATACCTCGTTTATACAATTGGACAAACTCCTGAGGAGAAAAAGATATGTTAAATTTTTGATAATTGCGGATGCGTATTTGCATATTATGCATAAAATGCACACATTATCATTGTAAAAATGACTTTAATGCATTCGTTCACCCTAAACAAACGTGGGTTTAGGCACCTCGTTGGACACAATTGGACAAATTCCTTCGGAGAAAATACATAGATTTTATTATTATTTCTGATAATAGCGAGTGCTAATTTGCATAATATGCATAAAATATGTACATAATCAGTGCAGAAATGGCTTTAATGCATTAGTTGACCCTAAGAACATGAGCTTAGATACCTCGTTTGATGCGATTGGAAACATTCTTGCGGAGATATAGATTGAAGTTAAATGTTAGATAATGGCTGCTAATTTGCATATTATGCATAAAAGACATAAATTAGACACAAAAACATGGTCTAGGCACCTCGATTGATAGGTTTGGACGAAATCCTGAAGAGATATAGAAAACTTATATTTTACCATATAGCGGTAGCTAATTTCCATATTTAACATATTTTACGGACCCTGATTCACGGTCCAACCTCCAAAGTGGGGTTTGACACCCGGACTAAGGTCAATTTCTTTTTGACTCGCCGTGTATAGTTAAACGAATAACAATTTGAATACTATTACCGTTTTTGTGCAATGAATAGTTTCCTTGTACAACATATTTTTTTCTCTCACGCTATGCATTTTTCTCTTCGTTCATCTTTCATGCTCTCTAGTTTTTTCCCCCTACACTATTATGCCTTACACTTTGCATTGTTTTGGGTCCTTCCCATGTGGTATTTAAATAATTTAAATGTACTAACAATAATGGCTGAAATTGCCGCGTGGCCTCGTCATAGACTATTATCATGTTGCGGCCATCTTGATTTTACCCATTCCAATCAACGTAACCAAAGCGAAGCTGAAAGGAAAAATAGTCTGGTTCCTTTTTTAAGTAATGTGTGCTCCCTGTGGATTTAGCCTTATGTTTCGGCCTAATCCGCAGAAGCGTTCAGCAAATTTAGTTGATCATTAGTAGACTATTTTTCTTGATACATTCCACTCTCTCATCTTAAATTATTATAAAACAATGTGGTCAATAGGGCCCAGGCCGTTATCAAGGTTCTCTAGGTCTGCCAGTATCCATTGCTTGTGATTGTCTGGTTGTCGCCAAATGGGTGGGACTATGCAGCCTTTGGCTCATCTTGCACCGTAGGATCAGACCCACAGCTTGTCGTAGCCGCCTGTCCAACAAGCCGTAGATGACGGGGTTCAGCCCGAGTTGGCCATGGCAAGCCAGGTGGTCGTCGTGAACACAGCGTCCGAGAACGGGCACTCGCCCCTGGTGAAGACCAAACACAAGATGCCGACGAAATGAGGCAGCCAGCAGGCCATGAAGTTACCGATGAGGATGAGAAGCATGAAGGCCGCCTTGGCGTCTCGCTTGAGCTGCCTGGCCCGACGGGTCGCCACGGCCCACTCGCTAGAACCCAGAGCCTCCATGGCGATAATCTTCCGAGAGTGTTTGCGGGCCACCATCAGGATGTGGAAGTAACAGAAACACATGATGGCGAGAGGAACGAAGAAACCCACAGCAAAGACGGTGCAGGAGAAACTGGCACTGTAACCCCAATCAATAGTGCAGATGTACTCGTTGTGGAAGTACTTGTAGTTGGACCAGGACGTGACCACAGGCAGCATACCCAGGGCGAGCGGCTCCAGCCAGACCCAGCCAACAATCACGGCCACACGGCGCGACGACATGAACTCCAGGTAGCGGAACGGGTGCACGATGGCAAAGTAGCGATCCAGGGCGATCCCCGCTAGAGTCAGCATGCTGGCCGCGCAGAATATCACGTTTGTAATACCGTTTACGGTGCAGTAAGCCTCGCCAGCGATCCAGCGATCGGCGATGCTGGAGCCGAGGATGAGCGGCATACCCGTCAGGCCGATAGCCAAGTCGGCCACCGCTAAATTGACGATGAACGCGGTGGTCTTGCTGCGTAGAATCCGGTAGTTTGCCAGGGCTAGTAGGACCAAAGCGTTTCCAAGTATAGCCGACAGCATGATGATAGCCATGAACGAAGACCGGACCGCCACCAGAGCCGATGACCTCCCGCCCGTCTCGTTGTCAAATGCTCCCATGGTAGAAGTCTGGATCATGCCAACAAAACAGTTTCCCACTACTGATATTTTGACAACGAAGGTTTGGTGACAAATTTATACAGCAATCAGTACTGCAAAAACTAAACACCTTAAAGTGGCAGTAGACCAACTCTGACTCGGTGCTTTTGTATGATTGATACAAGTGTCTCCGCGGATTTCTCCAACACGAGCATTTTACTAGCAACGTTGTTATGTAGAAAGACGTCATGTACCCGCAATATAGTCCTAGCCAGCTGACCTGGGCATCACGTCAGAGAGAGCAATGGTTTGGTATCGTTATGCATGAACGAATCTTTCGCGCATTCAGTGTCAAACAATAAAATAACAAAGAATAGGCCTATCCTCTGAACAAAAACCTCAACGGTATATTCATATATTATTTTAATGAAGTCGAGCGCGGCCACATTTTCTATGAGCGCGCATGCGTAGCGAGGGCTTCAATTTTTTTATTCTTCTGCAAGCTAGTCAAGTCATTTACCTTACTGCGCATGCGTGAAACATATCACGTGATTGAGTTAAACTATGCATTTTAAATAACATTATATATTTTGGAGTGTGGCCTGCTACGCTACGTCACTTGTCACAATGCTGCGCATAGGCGTAGCAAGTTAATTTTTATGGGGGGGGGGGCAAACATTTCTTGAAAAGGGCACTAGCACATCCCTGCTGAGATGTAGGCAGGTTGTTTTCTCCGGGCACTTGGCCTCCGTAAAATAAATTATTGTGGGGGGGGGGGGGGGGGGGGGTGCTGGTACCATCTTTCAATGAGGGCGCTGTTCAAAGTGGACGATCATACACACTATTGGACGATATAATTTTTTTTCAGGGAGGCGCACGCGCGGAAATTCCAAAAAAGGCACTTGTTACAGCCACTAGTTAAACAAAGGCACTAATTTTTTTTTTTTTTGGGGGGGGGGGAAGAGCACTTGTTTCAAAATCAGGGCACTTGTTTTTTTTTTTTTTTTTTTTAAAGGGCACTCTTTAAAAACATTGGGGGTCGGGGGAGGGGAGCTAAACACTTGTGAAAAAAAGGGCACTTGAAAGGAAAAGGGCATTCTTTTACAAAAAAACCCAAATATTTGGGGGGGGGGGCAATATTCCCATTACCCCGCTGGCTACGCCACTGCATGCTGCAGGTTGAAGGTCTGAGTCCCAGCAATATTTAAATTTTTCGTGTATTTTTCCCCAGAAGTGAATTTTATTAACAAAATTGTGTTTCATCAAGTCTCACTGGCCGATAAAATAAAATTCATTTTTTTCCTGATTCACGGCTCATAAAGATTTTTTTAAGGGACGAGACCATTCTTTCACCAATTGCCACATGCGCATTACGGTCTTTGACTGTACATGGTTGCAGAAAAAAAGAATGATTTTCCCCCGGCTCGTTCTAAGAAAAGATACTGTAATTATTTCCTGGTCGTTGACTCTCCCCCCCCCCCCCCCCTCTTTCTCTCTCTCCCCCTTGGGCCATCCCCGGACCTGGTCCGTCAAAGCCCATTTAATCATCGGCCTCTAAAAAACAATTTGCCACTTTTTAAATGAGTGAGAAGCGTTGTTTTTAATTCTCAGTCGGTTCAGCCGGTATTAAAGGGACTTGACATTTTCAATTTGCTGCAATTAAGTCGATGGTGCGGCAACCTTGGCGAAATAGCGTGTATGCCACTTTACATAATTACACGAATTGTCTTCGCCGTATAGCCTATGTTTTTTATGTGTGAATGTTATCATTCTTATACTCAACATCCATATCTTTCACATTTTGTGGCACCATGAAGATACACCATCCTTGTAATATGTTTCTTGAGTTCGCAGATTATTGCCGTCACATGATGCACAGAAAATGCGACACGCGAACCCGTTAATGAAAGGGCCGGGAGTCGACAATTACTCTAACACGGCTTTATTGGTTTTAGTAATTAACAAACGACATCGCTGATGAATCGTGTCAGCTTGTTTCTTAAAACGAGAGAAGTTTAATCCCCGTGAATACGTCGTTTAGGTACTGTGCGCTGAAAAATTGAACCAGAGCCTTTGGCCTTCATAATCATTTTCTTGTGGATTGTGTTCTTGCCAATGTGTTGATTCTCTCATACACTCAACCAAAAAAAGAAAGTCACCCCTTTATACTTGGACAAGTTGAAAAATGGGAGGAAAGTGTGACGTTGGAGAAAATGGGAGAAAATGGTTCAATTTGCATCAATCAAGTGTGTCACGCATCTGGCAATCTTGGCGAAATAGCGTGTATGCAATTTCATTAAAATGACACGTATTGTCTTAGCCGTACATGTTTTTTTTTTTTGGTTGTGAATATTAATCATGACCACAACTTGCAACCCATAACTCATAGAGCATTTGTTTTATTGAGTTCTCAGGTTACTGCCGCCAAATAACGCACGCAAAGCACGCGACACGAACGGAACCCGTTAATGAAAAGGTCAGGAGTCGACAATTGCTGTACTAACACGGCATCTATTGGTTTGAGTAAATGAACGAATGACTTCGCTGATTAATCTTGTCAGCTCCCTACAAATTTCAATGGTACTTTGATGAGAACGGGAGAAAATGTGATTCTCAATTATTATTTTTTTGTTAACAATCTGTAGGCCTAACAGATTATTTTGTTACAGAGATAGTCTCAATTAACATAACAGCCACGTGTTGCTTTGGTTGGGTGTACACTACCGGTATTATAATGCTAAGCCAATACATAGGCGTAACGAAATATCTCAACCATGAAATTACATTAGATATTCCTAATAATATGCGATTTTCCTTCCAAGGACCGTAAGTTCCGTTAATAGATTTTATCACGTCAGATTGCATAATAATATTATCATGAATATTGTACGGGTTGTCCCACTATCATGATTTTAGCTATAGATTCACCGTAGTCAGATGGGCATAATGTCAGGATGAGTAAAAAAAAAAAAACGTATCCCAAATTGCAGGACCAATTTTGGAATGAAGTTTTGCCTGTAGGTACGTGTTCTTTCAACAAAACGAAAACGATTCACATGCATATCCCTGCGAGAATCGTTTTCGTTTTGCTGAAAGAACACACATATACATGTATGTGTTTGTGATCAGTGGACAGAATTTTCAAACGGTGGTTGTGTTTAAAATTCCGCAACTTGAAAAGTACATGAGTGATTTGATTGATTTTTATTAGAGAAATTGTGGTAATTGGGCTTTCGTATCCAAGATTTTGAAAGTGCTACATACAGAACTTTATTAAGAAAATTGTCCCAGTCCTGCCATTTGGGTTTCCTTTTTTTACGCACCCTGTTCAATTATGCCTAATTATCATGAATATTGTACACGCTGCCCTACTATCACGATCTTAACTAGATTCACCATTGTCAGATGGGCCTTATGTTATGATACATTAATTACTATACTACATTTAAATGCAGATTGTTTATGAATACGGTCTAATGCCACCTTGCTCTTCAGTTTCTCAGCATTTACATTTTTGCAGGTAGTTCGGGACTTGTTGCACGAAAAGCAACATTTTGGCACGAACGGCCGGTGCGGTGCCCCATTGAGATTTACGTAATTATAAATAATTCGAGTGACTGTATGAGTGTACACACGTAAAGCAAATTTTCAACGCCGTACCTGTATGTTTTGAGCGAAAAACGTGCGTGCTTTCGAATATTTTTGTCACGCTTCTTCAACGCTAAGCGTACTTCTGCGATCTAAAATAATACTTTATTCCTAAGAAAATTTGAATAACTGATGATACCCGTTTTTCAAATTTTTTTTATCGATCGGACACCTGAACGTTTATGCCGTTTCAGGCTGAACTTGTTAAACACTCAACCAAATAGCAGGGCAGAATCAAAAAGCGATATTTCCAAAACACAAAGCAAACATAGGCAGCCTTTTCCATTTACTTAAAGCGTAGAATCTATAAGCTTAAAGCAAGCCTTAGTACTCGATATTCTGTGAGTTAAGTAGGCCTACGATGGGCAAATATTTGTTTTGGCAAGTCTTTATTAAATTACAAGACCGATGGATCCAGTACTGCCGCATTTTGTAATTTGAATGCATTAGGCAGACTGAGGGCATGCATGTTCGTGCCGTTAGGGAGTCAATTTGGTTCACGTCGAGTTTGATGATGATGATGATGATGAAACTGCCAACACACTGTTCCGATCGGTGGAAATTTGAAGGATTCACAACACGTTTACAGTGCGACTCCTAATCAACGAGGCCTATATATTTACACTTCCCTCTGTAATTTGTGTAACCTTTTATTCTTGCTTGGCGTGCACTGTGACACATAGCACATATTAAGGTGTACGTCAATCTTACAAACCCAAATGCAAATTGCTCTCATATGGAGAACTTTGCCACCCATATGTGAAGAAAATCAAAGCCCTGCATCCTCTGCGGTCACACACAACGGTGCATTGACCCGGCGACCTTCACAGCCCCACTGCGTAGACCGGTCGGTATAGGCCTAAATAAAAAAAAATACAACTTAAATCGTACGCAACAAGACAAAAAAACTTTTCTAACCTCTAGTTCCAAAAAGGAATACTTCGTGACAACGGATACCGAAGACGTTATGTTTTTGTTGTTGTTGTGTACCTAGCGCAGCGAATAGTCTTTGTTGCCTCTTGTTGGCGCCTTAACGGGGGGGGGGGGGGGGGGGGGGGGGGGGGGGGTGTCTGAACAGCATCTGATACAAATTAATATACCTCCGTGTTAGTACACCACCTATATGCCGCCAGCATCAATTTTCACCGCACCTTGTGATTTCATTGAAGACAAATGCATTGGGCTTGGCAAACCTGAAAACATCTCGGGACAAAAAGGTGCTTTTACAGCTCATTTTGGCCCGGTGCACACATCGTTCGGACAACCGATCGTGTAGGCAGCCATATGGAAGAGTCTGGAAGTCTGTGGTGCATATGACAACGTACCAGCCAATAACACGGCAATACCTCGATATTTAATTTTTCATGAATATTTGATTTCTCATGGATGTTTAATTTGAAAAAAGGTAAGACTGCTGCAAACTGCTTACTGACTGGATGGACCTGAAATATATAAATCTAAAAATTAATGTGACCTGACGTTGCGAACTTCGCAACGTCGCAACGTTGCGAACTTCGCTGCGAACGTTGCGAACTTCGCAGCGAACGTTGCGAACTTCGCAACGTTGCGAACTTCGCAACGTCAGGCCACATTAATTTTTGGATGTTTAATTTATTAGACATTCATTACTCTTACTTCAATGGATACAATAGACAAATAAACAAATGGTCGTGGTCCAGCAGGTAAGGTTGGTGTGTTTAATAATGAAGGTTTCTCCCCTCCCATGTTCGATTCCATGGATGTCCATGAAGTAAGTAACTGATTAATTAAAGGAGGGCCCTCTCCCCTCAAGGGTGAGAGTCGAGGAAGGAATATAGAGGAAAGAACCATATGGGATGTAACTTTTTGGCGCTTAAAAATTTATTGGAAAAAAAAATGGTATCCGTATATGGGATTTTTCCCTTTTGAACCAACCCCAACCACTCAAACCCTTCAAAATCCAACTGCCTGCTTTTTTTTGGAATCTGTTGGAGCGAGTATTGCACTAGTAAACTGATTAAGCTGTATAGTGGTGTTCCCTAATAACGTGGCGCACTTCGACATTTACCCCGACTTTCCACATCAGTGTTGCCAAACTTCTTTGTTGACAAACTTCAAATTCATCCAGTGAAATACATTATCCTTATTAATGCTTGCTATTTAAACTCTGTGAACAATTTCGGTTTCATGAAATTTAATCCGAAATTCAAAAACGGTGGTGTCCGGAAATTGGGCACAAATTAAATCGGCTTAGTGTTCCCTAACGTGGCGCACTTGAATAAATCAATGAAATTTCACAGTCAGTTAAAATTGTTGCTCTAGCTAGGCGCTACAGGCGAAAAAATCAAAGTGCGCCACGTTGGGGGCCGCGCCACGTTAGGGTACATCAAAAATATATCGGGTCAGGCATACCACCATTAAAGTCCCACAGATTTGGGTGTTATGAGTTACCATATGGTGTTGGATTTTGCAAGTTTGCAAGAGTTAGGAAGGTTGACTATTTGTTTTTCTAATTCTACCACAAATCTGTATGATTTTGTTAATCTTGAAGTAGATAAATGTGTTGTGGGAGATATTAGATCTCTAAACATTAATTTGCAAACATCAAAATTACAATGAATTGCTCATTTTAGTTTCAGGCATTGCTCATTTATTTCTCTTAACAAGACAAATAATTCTGAAAAGACGCGAAGTAGCAAAAATCAGACAGATGTTTGTACAGTATTTTCTCTGAAATATCTCTTCTTTCAACCTAACATAAAAATCCGAAGTGTTTCTTTTCTTCAAGAGCTTCCGTACATAAAGCTTTCTTCCGAAATTTGCAAAAGAAACACACAAAAATCCAATAAATTTTCAAAAAATAGGGTCTTGAAAAAAAGTCTTTAAAAAAAGTCAAAAAAAAATACGATTAAAAAAACCTCACGCATTACATGTTTAATAAAATAAATCCTCCCCTTACTTAGTTAAATAAATTAATTCCAATTAATAGAGTTTTTTTTTACAATATGCTCTTTTATAAAGATTATCTGGATTAAACACGTTAGAACTTTTTTTTTAGAACTAAAAGAATTCAAAATACATGTACATTTATGCGAATATCGTACAGATTTTGGAAAGAACACCGAGATTCTCCATAAAATCACACACTTTGCACAAGGCCGTCTGTTCCAGTCAGAGGGAAATTTGTCATATTGCCACAAATTTGTCTTTGTTGTACTTGGCCGATGAATCAAACCTCCGTAGTTAACATTTTGTTGGACCCATGTGTGGGAAAAACAGACTGATACACATGATAAACTTATTAAAAAAATTAATATTCTGATTACAAAATGACTATTTTATCCTATATTTAATTATATGCACATATATGATCATTATACAATACGCAAATTAAATAGAATTCTGGTGACGAAGCAAAAATCAATGTATGAAGCAATCGTCATCGGTTTTTGAATCAAAACACTGCTTTTTTTTTCTTTTTGCCGTTAGCTATCGTCGTGTAAGTCTTTTGTCTTGTCTGTCTCGTCCGTGTGTCGTTATCATGTTTTTTCTGTTGTTAGTGTTGTCTGTAAGGGCTGTTTCCTACAAGCCTCGGCTTACTTAAACAGCCCCATACTCCTTACTTTCTCTTGTACGTATATTGAAATAAGTTTATCATTTCTTCAAAGCGCATTTTATTTTTATTTTTGAGACAAATTTATTGATTTTGTTATTTTGCTATTTACCAGTCTTTCTTTTATTTATGGATGTATTCTCTAAAGGAGTGTGGAATAAATGTCTTCTTGAATTGAATTGAAATTGAAACTGAGTTCTTATCAAAGCTCAAGTATTTGTACTTTGATAATTCTTTATATATAAAGTAAGCTACCCAGTAATACATAAATAATGAATGTTTGAAATCATTCTTTGGTATTTATGGTATTGAAACTATTCTTTCCATTGCATGAATGTGATCCATTCATTACTCGTTGCTGCCACTCAGCAACAGCTTAAACAAATCTGATCTGTAATGACGAATCTTCTTGACCCGGTGACTAAACAGGGTGACCAAATTTCAAAATTGTATGGGAAATAACTTAACTGGTTTTGATAAAAGAGTAGGAAATTTTTCGTGGATGAAATTGAATGATAGAGTTGGTGAATTTGAATGAAAAATCCTTTAAAATAGCCGGGAAAACCTAAATTAAACTAAGGCACAAATGCAGTTTGAATACTTATTTAGGAAGTGTGATTTCTAAATCAAATGGTTTTGTCAGGTCTTTGAAAGATAAACACTCAACAACAAGCCTTTTCGGAGTTCCAACTGTGCGCATTCGTAACCTGTGACAACACACATTGTTTGTCTCAAATGCCCTTTGACAGTACCCACAATGCACAAACAGCCTTTTTGTAAAGTCAGTGGCGCGATGTTGTCAAAGGTCATTTGAGACAAACAATGCACGTTGTCACAGGTTATGAATGCGCAGTTGGAACTCCGAAAAGGCTTATTCAAATTAACTCGATTTTAACACTTTAGACCAAAACTATATTTAGTACGTATTGAACTTAGGCACATTTTGAGTAATGTTTTTGGTGATTTTCTACTCAAATGGTAATGCCAAGATTTTGAGAGTTAAACTCACAATTAAAGTTAACCCATTTTTTCCATTATTTTCCATTTTTGTTTTCGGTCCATTTGGTGACCATTGCATACTAAGACTATAGTTTATAAATAGGCCTAATAACAGACAAATATCGAATTAGAAATGCACTTACGCAAAAGGGGGGGGGGGGCTTTCAAATTCACTAATGACCAATAAAGTCCCTTCACTGGCTCCCCATCGCTGATCGCATTGCCTTCAAGATCCTCCTTCTCGCTTTCAAGTCACTACAAGGAACTTCACCGGACTATATAACAGACATTATCTCGAAATATCAGCCGTCACGTAGTCTTTGTTCAGCCGGAGCGCTACAGCTTACTGTTCCCCGCACCAATCACTCTTGGGGAGACCTGTCTTTCTCAAGCGCCGCTCCCGAACTCTAAAACAATCTACCCCTTGAAATTCGCCAGTCATCATCATTGTCTGTATTTAAATCTTCTGTGTTTACCTCACGTTTTTGTGTTTAATAAGTTGATGTTTATTACTTCTGTCACTACTTTCTGTTATTCAAAGTTAACTTAATTTATACTGTAATTGTTTTGTATGTATTGTGCGCCATGAGCCTCTTGCTTGGCGGATATCGGCGCCTTATAAATGTTCATTATTATAATTAAGATGGACTAAAATGCCCTTGTGGATAAGCTTCATTCTTACACCATAAGATCAGTATATGAAGACAAACTTGGACCTCAACAAGTACTCCACAAGTACAGCCGTGAATTGTAAGCTTCTCTGTCATTGATTGCAGTCAATGTCATACAAACAACCATCCATCGTCGTCGGCAGCCCGAGCAGCGGGTCCCCCTACGTTGAAAAGCTGGTTGAAGCACCGACTTTTTGGGTCGTTGTAGTGCTGATAGGGGACAGAGTGGGACAAGATCTTGAGACAGACCCAGCAGAAGAAGGTGCGGCACTGGGAGCAGGCCATCTTGTTGCAACCGTCGATCTTCTGCAACGAAATCATGCAGGTAACCGATGAAATATGTAAGCGTTAAAGCCAGAGTCCATCCTTTGCAGCTATCCAAAAAAGTAACTGGCGTAATTATTGTTGAAAAACATACTTGGTTGAACGATAGTAAGGGGACTAAACTCCCTGTGAAATTATTCTTTCTGGCAAGCTGTCATTTTGAAGAAATCAGCAAAAGAAGGCCTTTCCAACGGTGCTTCTTAAAGGGAATACACATCATTTGCTTTTGCTGTAATTTTCAGAAATGGATGGAATTGGGGGGTTGGAAATATATAGCAAATATAGTTACACTGACTTTTTTTAGGTTTTAGGTTCGAAAATGCTATAAAAACCAAGAAAAACAATCATTTTCCTGTAGTCTGGTTCCCTGACTCCATATAAGAAGAAACAGAGCAGTTTACATACATTGGGGAATTGTAAGGTCAGGGAACCAGTCTTACTGGCTTGTACCCGTTCATAGGTGTGTAATCGATTGCAAACAAGTGCGATGGTCAATCGGGGCCAGTTTTTGAAAAAAAAACCAGTTTTTTCCAACGCTGGTCGGCCGACCAGCGTTGGAAATTGATACAAAAATACCACTTTTCTTGGAAATGACAGTATACCAGGTGCCATGATTTTACAGGATGCTTTACACTGTCATTCACTTACAGTCTAGCAAGGTATTTCAAAATGATTTGGTAGTTTTATATTTTGATGTTTGCAAATGTTGTATTTTCCCTTTAAGAAGCACTGTAGGAAATTCAACTTAGTGGTTCGTTTTGTTATTCGGTGAAACGCGCGCAAGCATTGGCACGACGCACACGCGGTTGCTATAATTCGTCGGATCAGTACGCAAATGGGCTGTGATGGACTTGTAACTGGGCTCATGATGGACTTGTAACTGGGCTTGTGATGGATTTGTAACTGGGCTTGTATCTGGGCTAGTATCTTGGCTTGTAAGTGGACTTGTTACAAACTTGAATAACTGGGCTCATGATGGACTTGTAACTGGGCTTGTGATGGATTTGTAACTGGGCTTGTGATGGACTTGTAACTGGGCTTGTGATGGACTTGTCACTGGGCTTGTGATGGACTTGTAGCTGGGCTTGTGATGGACTTGTCACTCGGCTTGTGATGAACCTGTAACTGGGCTTGTGATGGACTTGTAACTAGGCTTGTGATGAACCTGTAACTGGGCTTGTGATGGACTTGTAGCTGGGCTTGTGATGGACTTGTCACTCGGCTTGCGACTGACTTGTAACTGGGTTTGTGTTGGACTTGTAACTGGGCTTGTGATGGATTTGTAACTGGGCTTGTAACTGGACTTGTTACAAACTTGTATAACTGGGCCCATGATGGACTTGTTACTGGGCTTAAGATGAACTTGTAACTAGGCTTGTGATGGACTTGTAACTGGGCTTGTGATGGACTTGTAACTGGGCTTGTGATGGACTTGTCACTGGGCTTGTGATGGACTTGTCACTGGGCTTGTGATGGACTTGTCACTGGGCTTGTGATGGACTTGTAACTGGACTTGTGATGGACTTGTAACTGGGCTTGTGGTGGACTTGTAACTGGGCTTGTGATGGACTTGTAACTGGGCTTGTGATGGAGTTGTAACTGGGCTTGTAACTGGACTTGTTACAAACTTGTATAACTGGGCCCATGATGGACTTGTTACTGGGCTTAAGATGAACTTGTAACTAGGCTTGTGATGGACTTGTAACTGGGCTTGTGATGGACTTGTAACTGGGCTTGTGATGGACTTGTCACTGGGCTTGTGATGGACTTCTAACTAGGCTTGTGATGAACCTGTAACTGGGCTTGTGATGGACTTGTAACTGGGCTTGTGATGGACTTGTAACTGGGCTTGTGATGGACTTGACTACAACACCGGCTACTGACCTCAATATTGGTGTGGCACTTGGGACACTCTTTACTGTTCTCCTCCTTCCATTTCTGGGACTCAAACTCTTCCAGGACCTCTCGAAAGACACGCTTGCCAAAATGCTGCTCCAGCTTGGCCCTCGCCTCCACGCTCCCTTCTTCATACTCCTTCCGCAGCTTCAATATTTCTTCTGTTGAAAAAAAAGAGAGATAAGTTTGTTGTTCGCATCTGCTACTCCTTCAACACCATACCATCGTTCAACATGTACTAACAGTGCCAGTATCCCCTTTTTTTGCTAGCGGGTCTTTCAATATATCCAATCACATGCATGTATAAAGTTATTGTCATGACAAAGTTATTTTCCTGTCATGACACCAGGTATAGCTTCAATATCACAGTGTTGTCAAGTGCGCCTTCAATATCACAGCGTTGTCATGAGCCGAAAAAGATCGACTCCTACTTATGCAACCTTATATTTTATTACACTTGGAGGTTCGGAAAAAGATTTTACTTTATGCTCCGTGCGCAACCAAGAGAGGGCGCTTTCATACCACTTCTGAGAGCCTATTGGATGGGACTCATTGCATGGGCGTACTGGTTCACGCGTGTATAGCTCAAAGTTCGCACAAGTTAATTTATTGAGGATGCGCACAATGCCATTGAGTCTTCGCGTGAGCGTCGGGCATTGTCAGCCGCGTTCGAATGTCTCTCCCAATGGCCTCCCCAACGCTTCCTTTCTTACCATTGAAAGGGAAGCCCACAACACTTAAAGCTATAGTCTATCATTTGCAGCTATCCGAAAAGTAACTGGTGTAATTATTGTTGAAAAACATACTTAGTTGAAAAATAATAAGGGGACTAAACTCCCTGTGAAATGATTCTTTCTGGCAAGCTGTCATGTTGAAGAAATCAACGAAAGAAGGCATTTCCAACGGTGCTTCTTAAGACCCACCGTAGGAAATTAAAATTAGTAGCTCATTTTGTTATTAGGCGAGGCGCGCGCAGGCACTGGCACGGCGCACGCGATTGCTAAAATTCGTCGGATCAGTGCGCGACATCGCGTAGCTGCAATCCGCTCAGTGAGAACGTGTCTCGGACGCTGAATTTGGGCCCAATTTCAGCAACTTTTGATTTCAAATTGAGATCCTAGAATGCTGTTTTTCTCGGAATATACAGCTGAAACTGAGCTGAAACTTCATCAGGTTAGTTGTTCAGTACCCTTCTGTAGATTTTGAGCACTTTTGTTGCTTCAAACGAACAGTATGCACAAATTACAAATGATGGACTATATCTTTAACAAGTATCGGGTCGTACACACCTTTCCGTAGTCTACAAGGAGACACACCGTGGTATGCCATCCGGCATTTCACGCAGAAAGGGTACGCGCAGGCAGAGCACACAGCAATGGTAGACTCCTTGTCGCGCATGACTGGACACTGACAGGACAAACGAGGGCAGTAGACAATGTCGTCCATGCCTTCCAGGGTGCGCTGCAGCAGGAGACGATCGTAGGTTGCAAACAACTCCTTGCCGACCAATTCACACACCTAAAGGATACATTTGAAAATTTCAGAAAAGTCACCAATAGAGGGCTAAAATGCATTGGGTTTATGATAGTGTGTTGTTTTTCAGTCCCATCCTGATGCTGATTTGTTCTTTCCTGGAGTATTATTCCAAGGTCTTCTTACTTCTAAATCTGAATATTTCTCCTCTCCTATAAAGGTTTCTTCAGGCTCCTAAGCTCAGCACAGGAAGTGACCAATATATAATTTGATAAAGACTTAATCAAATGTTATTTATCAATTATCATTTCAGTTATTTTACATGAAAATAAGCCCTTCTATCTAGTTAATGTTAAACAATGTGGTTGCTAATCAAACGCTTGCCTATATTGCAGTGATGGCCAATCACAGGGAAACTGGATAGTCACATGATACTTTGACATCATGAGATCAGAACCTATCCCCAACTTCTCGGAAATGAAGCTCTTATGGGCAATTCCACGGTTACTCACGTTACATTTTTGATGTACTTTTGACTTTCCTTGGGCTGTAATTACCTTACTGAAAAGGTCTAATAACTGTCATCCCCATGGTAGATAGAGTAGACCTAGACCTACCTAAGCACCAACGATGACATCCAGAAAAATGTGTTATGTATGATAAACAAGATGCAAAAAAATCTGTTACTCACGTTACATTTTCGCAACCCTGGCCTGAAAAGGATTAGATCCTCTGTTATAACTAACTGACCAAAGTCAAAACAAGCAATACCTGTGAAGGCATTGCAGGCGAGTCGCACTCCGTATCAGGACAGTTTAGGGCCTTCACGTTCCCTTCTTCGATTTGAACCTGGAAGTATCCCCTGACGCAGTCCTTGCAGTAGACATGGTTGCATCCTATGAAGTTGATGCAGTAGGAGCCCAGCTTCTCGCAGAAGCACACCAGGCAACTGTACAACGAGTTATCGAAGACCCTCTGGCGCTCTGCCCTGTTGTGCTCTATCAGCGTCAGTAACAGTAAATTCCCACTGCCGATGTCTTGGACAGCACGGGGATCTAAATTGCTCAGATTTGGATCTCTCTCGCTATCGGAAAGAGGCGTTCTCTTGTTCTGGTCTTCCGAATCGTTTCCTGAAGCTTCGTCTGTTCTTTCGTCTCTGGAGGACCCGCTCGCCTCCACCGAGTTCGAACGCAAGACCCTCCGGAAGTCTAATGACAGGGGGGACTGGATGCCCAAGATGCCAAGGCTTTCGTCGGTAAGGAACTGAGTCCACTGAAAGATGATGACTTCGCCACGGTTCTCATCCCAGATGCGATCCAGATGGGAGCAAAGCTGAGACAACTGGAGAAATTTGGGAGCGGAACATATGATGATATCGACTCCAATATTCACACGTGTGTCTTTACACACTACACTGAGGTCAAAAGAGTAAAATATTAAAATAAAATTCAAGAGATTTGTGAATGTTTATTGAATGATATCTGGTCCTTGTCAGTTGTCCAGTCCAGAAAGTTTGAAAACACTGCTACATGTATCTGTATTCAAGTACACCCTCCTAGTTTGAAAAATGTCACACTTTGGGATTCCTTCAATTGGAAATTGGCGATTTAGACAATCACTGCAAGGGAAATGCTGTCCCTGGGGGCCACACTTGAATGACACAATTGAATGTGAATCCTCCTGAATCATACAGAGTTGGTCGAATTCTCACAAGTCAATAACAAATCAATCACAAGTCATCCAGTCTCACGTCTTGTGTCTTTGACCAGTGATTTGAATTGTGATTGACTTGTAATTGGCTTGTAATTGACTTGTGATTGGACTTGTGAATGACTTGTGTTTTGACTTGTGACTGAACTTGTTTTTGACTTGTGAATACTTGCGATTTGTTTGTGACTGACTTGTGATTGACTTGTGCTCGACTTGTGATCGACTTTTGATTGACTTGTGATCGACTTGTGATTGACTTGTGATTGGACTTGTGATTGACTTGTGATTGACTTATGATTGACTTGTGATGGACTTGATACAACTCTGTTATCGTTAGCCAGAGTTTAAAACAATTCACGAGAAGTTACAAAAACTTCAAGTTGTCCTGCCTGACCTTATCCACACTCAGCCACTTGCAGGACAGAGTGAAGGAGGGAGCTGACTTGGATGGGTAGTCCTCGGGGTACTGGAAGTTCAGCACGATGGGTGGCAGGTGACTGACGCGCAGCAGCGCACTACCATCATCCCCCTCGGCCAATTTAAGACCTGGGGCAAAAAAGGAAAAAGTCTGTTTACTACAGAGATCCAGACCAAAGGTCATAAGGTCAGAATTACTCCTGGTCAATCTCCCTCAAGTGGAGAATGTAGGTTCCTAGCCCCATAAATGTGGCCAAGTTACTTGACTACCTCCATAATGAAGGCCGTACCGGCCCCATCTCAAGTGACGAGTAGGACGTTGTTTTTGTTAGCTGTCAGTCACGCGGCACGCGCCTCCGGCTCGGCGGCTGTTGCTTGAGTAATCCTTGGTGCATAGTAAGCATGAGGGTCAAAGTACCTATGAGGGCGCACAGTAACCTAAGGATGATAAAGTCAAGCAACAGCTGCCGAGCTGGGCGCGCACCACGTGACTAAAAGCTAACATGTTGACCTGCAGGTCATGCTACCAGCAAGCGTTGCCCGTTAACATCACCGTGTTGGAATTTAGCTACACTCAAACGTGCACAACAGCGGGCCTCAAAATTTCCTCTGGAAATTACATGAAAAGTATATTTTTGAGGAACCGCATAAGTTTTCATTGCTAGCATTTACTAACGTGCGATCACTTACAAAATGTAAATAAACTAGCAGCAAAGTCTGAAAGTGAAAATTGCAAAAAACAACGTCTATCCTAATCATCACTTAAGATGGTGCCAGTGTGGCCTTCTTTACAGAGGAAGTCCGGTAAATTGGCCACATTTATGGGGCTAGCAGGTTTCCTACCAACTTTTAAGTACCAAGACGAGTCCTAAAGCAGTATTTGGATCGTCAAATGTTCAGCGAACATCATCTGCTTACCAGTTTTCTTTGCTTGCTGGATCAGCGGACCCTCGAGCTTGAGGAAGAACTCCTCGGGCAGCTCCAGATACACCGAGAACTGCCCTCCGTTATTGTCGTCATCGGCCACGAAGATCCTCTCCTCGTAGATGCTGGCGAGAGCTGTCACCTCGTCGGCTTGTGCCTCCGTATCCTCACTGTTCATCTTACACTGTAGGCATTTACCGATGTCTCTCAATTATTAAAAAATTATTATCATTTATTATCATTATATGTTTCTGGTATAAATGAAACCAACGATTCCTTTCAAAAGCACCCCAGGCACTGTAGCTCACAAGCCTGAAGAAACCTGTAGAGAGAAGACAATGAGAAGAAATTACAGTTTTTGATGCGGGAGGAAAACCCCAGAAGAATTTTCTGGGGGAAACCCACGCAATCAGGTATGGACTGAAAACCCAATCAGCATGTGAACCAGGTACCCCTACAGCTATGCGAAGCTTCACGGAGCCCCATACATCTAGGGATATGGACCAGGCATTCCAGGACAGAAATCGAACCCGGACCATAGAGGTGAAAGACAAGGGGGAAAAAACACTGCACTAACCTGACTCCCCTGAGTTAATGGCAGAAAATTTAGGAGGAAGAATTTCCCCATTTTTTTTGCAAGGTTGTAGGTCGGTAGAATCCCCCCCCCCCCCAAAAAAAATTTACATTGCAAATAATTCATGCAGCCTTGCAGCCTTGCAGCTGCAGCAGGACTATGTGATCATTGTGATCAAAACCTGTCTTGATCCAATAACTCTGTAGTTTAGGACACCTCTAAATGTTTACAATTTCCATTCATAAATCGGCGATCGTGCAGTGTAGGGCCCTTGTTTTATTTTGATCAAATTAGTGTCAAAAATGTTTTTTATTGCTCAAAGATCACCTTTACAACCAAAAGCAGACTTTTCTCAATTCTAATGACACCCGTTTTGCAATTTTGAACAGTTTCTTGGGGTAGAAATCAAGATTATCCTGCGCAGTTTGTACCTTGTGATTTAGCGCGCCTTGCGTGCTCACGGTACATCGCGCTGTGTTTCACCATCTTTACTTTCGGGTTGCCTGTTGTCGCCGCACTGTCATCGTCATTTTACCCCCAAATTTCCCTTAAAAAAAAAATCAAAACACTGCCCTCTATCTATGACATACCTGTTTATTGAGAATGTCGACAACTAGGCCCTAAATAAGTTTAAAGTGGATTTTGTTCCCTTATAGGTACCGGGCCCTACACTACACGATCGCCCATAAATCAAAACCCTGCCCTCTTTCCACAAAATTAAGCTAGCTTTTTCCCGCTCGTATCAATCATAGCCAAATGTCCACCTCCAAGTCCCAAATTTACATAACACTAAGTGTCTTTTCGTTCTTATAATTTTAATATGGATGGGGTTCTTAACTACACCATCATCATTTATACGGAAAGATTTCCATATCTGGCGATCAAATAGTAAAATTTAGCAGGGAAAATATTGAAGTACATTTGTGTATTTACTGAGAAAACACTTTGGCCTACTTAGAAATTGTTAGCCCCATAAATGTGGCCTATTTACTGGACTGCCTCCGTAAACATAGGCCACACATCCACATGTACAAAAACGTGTCGACTTTGCCAAATTTTGATTTTCACATTTAGGCTTACTTTGTAGGGTTTTTTTTGCTTTAGAAGCATTCTCACCCTCTATATTGGCTAATCAGAAAGTGCTGCCTTTTTCAGATGTCCATTTTTCGTGAAATTTCCAGATACATTTGCACACGTTTGCACACGCATGACGTCACGCGGAAGCGTAACACCCGATGACTGTTTCATGCACTATTGGTTGCGGTTCCAGTACCAAAGCTGTGATGCGAGTGGTAAACCTTTTACTAGTGCATGAAACAGTCATCAGCCAGCGCAGCCGGCAAAAAACGAGTAGTTGACAGCAATCGCTCTCTGTGCCTGTTAATCGACCGCCATTCATTGTACAAAATTTTTTTTGTGCACAAACCAATAGCGGTCCTGGCCAATCCAGCAAGGTTGTCAAGTTAGCGGTTATTCCTCCTGTTTTCACTGCAATTGTAGGCTGAATCTTCATCGTGGATCGTTTTTTACTTCAAGGACCTGTGTAATGGTTATTCCAGGCAAGTTTGGGGTGAGTTGCAGTTGCAATTAGTGTGTAACGGGGACAAAATTGAACATTTTCCAATTTTTTTTTGCAAATACTACAAGTTACGAGAAAAATGCGCTCCAGCCCTAATAGACAACCCAATGATAAAACTCAGGGCTGGGTAACTCCAGCTACTTCTAAAGCAAAAAAACCCTACAAAGTAAGCCTAAATGTGAAAATCAAAATTTGGCAAAGTCGACAGGTTTTTGTACATGTGGATGTGTGGCCTATGTTTACGGAGGCAGTCCAGTAAATAGGCCACATTTATGGGGCTAAGAAATTGTCAGACCAGTCTCATAGGGTTTGTGCACAGACAAGAAGTGACAAGCATGACAAGACAAATGATGGCCAGATATGGGAATCTTTCCAAAATGAAAGAAGAAAAAAACGCAAATGGATATCGAAAAGTGTTTCTTACAAAACTGCAGGAGTTGGTGTTCAATAACGTTCACTGATGGGGAGTAATACATGCAATTTGCATGAAGTTTTTCGCTCGCAACTGCAACAAGTAACTTACCACCGGAACATTACACGTTGCGCCACAGCCGGTAATGCTGGTCACGTTCCCAGGCATAAAAAGCTTTCTATCCAAACAGCTTGTTGAGTGGTGCCTGACTACGTGCAGGCAGACATACGGTAGGCGTGGTTCTATACACTGAAAATTGAGGCGGAGTGGGGGGGGGGGGGGGGGGTCTATAATGTTTTAAAGAGTGTTGCCACTTTTGTCATCATATATCATCTCAATGAAGGTCAGTCTTTGCAAAAACATTGAAAAGACATGAATCTGGGACTGAGAAACATTTCCAATTTTGTTAGGCAATAGGCCTACTTTGAAAATGTTCCATCAAGTCTCCATATATAGACTTACAAGCTGGTTTACCCGATCATAGATCGGGTAGGGCGTAGTGTTGGGGATGAGAATGTGGGGAGTTAAATGTGAATGGGGGATATAGTTGGGGAGACATGCAGTTAAAGAATAGCAATTTCTGTGGTGTGATCTGAGGCAATTTCTGATCACTAAAACCAATTTGAGCAAAAGATCATCTGTGAAAGTTTTGAGTTTTGAGTAATTGAATCAGCTACATGTATTCTGAGCAATAGAATCATTATTGTAGGCTACAATATTTTTTATTCGGGGAAGAGAAAGTGTGTGTGTGTGGGGGGGGGGGGGGAGACCAAACAATGTCCCCCCTCAAAATGTGTGTGTGTGTGTGTGTGTGGGGGGGGGGGGGGGGTTCCTGTCCCCCATCGATTTACGCACATGATAATTATGTACCATGGCAACTGTCTGTAAATGTTGCCGTTGGTCTGTTAAATTGGCTTGTTGTGAGGCAGTCGCATTTGGAAAACGTAGTGAAAAGGTTACTGTAGTACACAGGCGAAGGCTGGTTGTACAGTTTGACAATAAATCATAATGCAATTAAACGTGAAGGTGTCATTTAAAATGAAAATGTTGAGTGTTACCAAAAAATTACAAACCGGGTCTGAATCATGGAGGAAGGTCATAATTAAGTTTCAGTATTGGACTCTTCAACAAACGTAAACTTGAACTTCTTACAATTTGCGAGACCGTCTGCGATTGAACTTTTATTCAAGTTGGTTCAACCATCTATATATAAGAGCAAGTTTTACTCGGCCTCCGAGAAATGTTTGCTTCTGAAAGGATCCGAGACCGCGGCGATCCTTCGTTGACCCAAAACAGGCCCCCGAAATTATAACACGACACTGAATTATACGTGGCGGGCAGCGAACTCACAACGCTCAGCCTTGGTGGTGGAAGCATGGAGCTGTAAACACATTATGGAAGCAACAGCACTCTACACGTGACATGCTTGCGCTTCAAAAAGCGAGCACAGTAGACCCAACCTCGTTTCCAGGGTGTGGAGCAGGCTGCAGTACGCGTTGCCATCGACAGTTTTGCATAGCCCGGAAATATACTACGCAGTGTAGACTTTCGATTGGTCAGACCGCGCAAGGCATACTTAATGTGTAGTCCTTCTGAGTATTCGTTGCACTCGGCGCAGGGGCGGCAAGCGAAGCATATGAAAGAATAGGGGCACTTGGTGCCACGCACCATGGAGAAAAAATATTTTACCAAGGTCACCCCATCCACAATTTAGTGAACGCTTTTGCAGAACGGCCGAGTAGAACACGTAAACGGAACCCCTACGTTGAAGCCGTTGACCTCACACAGTCTAGACACGCAGAAAAGCCAGGACAGGGGGCGGCCAGGCAGTCAACGTGAAAGCACACACGACGGCAAATTCCTGCGCAAAATGCAGTCACGAAAAATAGACGAAAAGGATCGCCGGTCCGTACGGGAAAATCAGGACGACCCGAAGCGTCCGACCCGGCGGAAGACACCCTCCGCATTTTTCCACGGACGTGGAGCGATTTTGGCGCCGCGGGAGCCCGCGGTCTCGGATCCTTTCATGAGCAAACATCGTCTCGGAGGCCGAGTTAAACTCTCTCTTATATATATAGATATATACACAACCAAAGAAGTGACGTCTGGATACTACATTCTTTCCAATGTTTTAAGCAACTAATTTTTGAAAGCGGGATTTTCAAAAAATTCCTTTTTTTTTGACATGTGGTGGACACAATGAAAGGACGCCATTTAGGAATGGATGAAATCTTTTTAATTTCCCTAAAATGTACCGCCTCGAAATAGCGCCCCCTTTTGTGCCCGTATCTCGAAAAAGGTGTTTTTAACTCCCCCGCTATTTTATGGAAATATAGGATGGGAAAAATGTGTCAGAATGAAATACAAAACCTTTTAGCTCAAAAAGTGTGACTCAGAAAATAGCTGTTATTATGAACTATTTCTTGATTATATTATCTCATACAAATAAAATGAGCAAACGTTTAATATTTAACATAAAAACATGATTACAATGAAGATATTTTAGACAGATGCAAACATTATTTTCCAATATAGGGAAATTAAAATGGCCTCTACAATATAGACAAACATACAGTTTATTTATTATACGAGGATAACCAAACAATCATATTTTTGGATTAAAACAATTTAAAATGATCAATTTATGATGCACTTATGTAATTACACATTTTGTTCCTTTTTTTTCAAGTTAAATTTCAAATGCATTATTTGTAGCAGGCATCAATTTACTTTAAACTTAATTCATTTAAAAAGATATCCATATTTTACATTACAAATTGAGAGCATAGGCCTATTTTAAATCAGTGCCTCCTTATAAACGCAAGTCAAATGGGGTTATGCTAAAGTTGCTCATAACAATAATAGTAATAATTATATAAAACATTTATAGTGATTATTTTAATAATAATAATAATATGAAACATTTACAGTGCACCAGATTCACCTTTGCTCAAGGCGCAGAGAAACAAGAACTAATACAACAAAAACACTGCAAATAAACTCACGCGATCCCCCTGGCATGCTGGCAGTATTTATCAGTTAGTACGCACACTTTTCGGCAAGATTACCATATGCGAAGTTCACTAATTTTCCTCTGTATTGACTAACAAGCCCCCAGATAGCAATTTCATGTCATCAAAGTCAATTTGAGCAGTGAGAAAATACAAGCATTTTCTTAGAAAACACTTAGAATTTTTCAGTCCAATCTCATAGGGTTTGTACACAGGGTGTTGAGTGAACTTCGTATATGGAAATCTTTCCCACTTTCCAGTTGACCCAACCAAAATCACCAAAGGATTCATTTGACCCCTAGATGACCTTTGACCTCAAATGTCTCAAGTCATCTTAAGTCCCCCTACCCAAAGATTATTGTCACCAAGTTTGGTTAAGATTTAAGCATGACTCTTCATATGACAGCACTTTTCAGTTTACCTAATCAAAAACAATAATGACCTCTTTTGACCCCTAGATAACCTTAGACCTCAAATGTCTAAGGCCATCTGAAGTCCCCTACCCAGAGATTATTGCCACCAGGTTTGGTTGAGATTGAAGTCTGACTTTTCATATGACAGCACTAAACAGTTAAACTAAAATGGAGTACATGGACGTTTGTTTATGGTGTGAATCGAGGATTTCTATTGTTCCTCTTCCCTTTTTCTTTGTTTATACTCTTTTTTGCAACAGCTCTCATTGGTCAAGTCCTCAATCAAGTGTGTATTTGCCTGCAATCGGGGACCGATTATATCGTCTCTCTTTTGTTTGTGCTCTAACGTTTTAGGAAGACCTCCCATATGTTTTGCACACGAATCCAAATTTGGTACCTCTCGGGAATTGGGAACCCTATTGTCCTCTATTGTTCAACGTCCCCTATTGAATGTAGAAACAAACTCACATACACAGAAAGTATACACTATCGCAAGATCCCCCTTTCTTGACTAAAGCCAGGGGTATAAAAACGGAAGGGAACACTAAGATACACACAAATGAAAATTACATGAAGATGAAACAGCAAAGCAAAATGGGAATGAATTCAAAATGGACGAGCTAATGAAATGCTGCTAGAAAGGTGGGTCTTCAGAGCACATTTTAAACTCTTGGGAAGTAGAAATATCACGAATATGTTGAGGACTTTTGTTCCATAACATAGGTCCGGCATAAATTGCTTTTAATTAATGTTTGTGTTTGTGCACTTAATTTTTGTTTGCCTCATTCTAAATGTTTCCAGAATTTGAAATATAAATCTTCAACCATTCGTACCATGCGGCTACTGTTTCATGACTTCCCCAGGCCAGACGCCTGATATGTCAATATTATGTTAACACTATAGCCTAGGTCTTTATTTCTGAAAAGGACCAGCATCGACAAACATCATCAGGTCCTCTTTACTTTTTTAAAACTTAATGGGGTGATTATTCGAAGATTTTTTTTCGATCATAACCAAGAAAGCAGCCTTTTTTCGGATGTTAGGCCAAACAAAAAATAAGTCGGTCTCTGGTCAGCGCGCGCGTCGATTTTAATCATGCGCGTCAATCTTTTTTTTCTCCAAAATGTTCCGCGGTAGCTCCAACAGCGCCCTCTATTGCCGCACCTCCTCATTTTTTTTTTTTTTTACCAAAGAGCACCAAGGAATGGGAAATTGCACCAAAGCAAATGATCGAAAGCACCAAGGCAAATATGGAGGACATCAATGTACATGAGGACACCAAAAAAGCAAAATAGTACCCCACCTTGTCTGTACAATCCAAGCTTGAAAAAAAAAAGCAAAAAAAAAAAAAAAAAGCCGCGTTGCCGCGTCAATTCCGGAACTTTGGTATGACCAGAGACCGAATATATATTTTTTGGCCTTACTTTAGGTAATTCCGTATAAGAGAACCAATAAATAGTGCAGCTAAAACGCCTACTATCAGCACAACCTCAAATGGGCTGGGGCCACGTGGATCCCTTGACGGTTCTGGGGCAACACGAGGGTGTGTCATGGCTTTTCTACGTTGGTGGTGAAGGATTGTGGTTTCGGGAAATCTAGCTAGCGTGCGTTGGGGAAATTTCGCAGATCTTTTGGCGGATGAAAATATCAAAGGCGGGTTATTAAAGGAATGTGGAGAATAGCTGTAAAACTCGTAGTTGATATTCAGACTGGGTATCGCCGGGTACTTCTTGCGGAATAACTGGATGTTGACGTCACAGCTACGCATGGGACTGAAGTCAAGAAGGCGGCAGTACTTTCTGATGGTGGGCGAGTACGCACCGGATGGCACGGTTTTGATACCGCGGGATTCGTACACTACTTCGAGACCAACTCGCAACGCGAACTCCCGCCGAAACTGGTTGTCCCCATCGTTGTTGTTATCGATGTACAGCACGAAGCAGCCCGGCTTCAGCTCGCGAAGAATTTTGCGAAGGAAATCGCCCCCACTTTGGTAGGAGGCTCTGAAGAAAGCAGACATAGCCGAGAACGACTTCACGAGGGTAAGCATGTCGGCCTCTCGGATGAAGTCCCGCACTTCGGTAGAAACTGTTGTGTCTCGGACGACGTCACACTTCTGGTAGGCAACCTTGAAGTCCCCGGGAATGCAAGTGTGGATTCTGTCCCAGGTTTCTTTCCAGTTGGGGTACAGATCCAGGACCAGGCACCTCAGCGCAGACGGGAACATTTGGTTCAGACGAAGGAAGGTGGTCAGGCCAAGCAGGTCCGATCCAGGCCCGCCCCCGATGCTGCAAACCTTCAAGTTGTATTTGTAACGCCAATCTGCTGAGATCTCGGAAAGATTGCTTTGGAGAGATGAGAACACGATGTTGCAGTGGTGCATCAGGTACAGAAACACATAAGCGCAACGGTTGGCTGCATCATCCCAGTCAGACCGAATGTAGGGACTTGATAACCCCTTCTTGTACACCTGAGAAATGCTTCTTAGTGATTGTTTGACTTCATCACTTTTGAATTCTGCGCTCAAATATCTAGGAACCTGGTAGCTGGGAACCTGGTCTAGAAGGTCGTCCAGCACGTCCGTCAGTACGCTACGGAAAAATTCTCCTGCCCTTTCATGTTTTTCCATTTTGAAGCGTTCACTGTAGGGTGACACAAAATACACCAGATTGGTAATAATAGTTAGTGTTCACCAGACTTGTATGACTCGTGATTCGGAATCAAGTCCAACTGGAGCCCCATTTTCAGTGACTCGACTTGGACTCCAGTCACAATGACAAATGACTCGGACTCGGACTCGACCCTTCGGAGTCGGACTTAGACTCGAACTCGACCTACGTGACTCGGGACTCGACCAAAATTACCAATTATTTTGAAGGATCATCTCCTGAGTAAGTGACATGCGGTGCAGATGAAACGCATCTAAGTACTGTACATACACAGCGAGTGCGGCTGGCTAATTGTTTCCTATATATTGGTTTGGAAAATCAATGTATCAATACATGTATCCCAGCGCCCACACTTGACATTGCGATAAATGCAAGGTTGATAGTGTTTCCACCAGATTATCCTTTCCAGAAACTGGTGACTTGCTTGATTTGACATGATATACATGTATTTCTAGTTCATTAAATTAGAGAAAAGCTGTCAAAAAGGGGGATATTCTTTTACGCTGTGAGGTTTTAGCAGTACCTCAAAACGTATTTCCGATATCTATTAAAGGTAACTCGTGGCTCAGACTCGGACTCGACCGTTGTGACTCGTGACTCGGACTCGAGAGAGTCAGACTCGAGAGGTGACTCGGACTCGATGTTTGGTGACTCGAATACAAGTCTGGTGTTCACAAACTGAAAGAGACTAAGAGAATGAATCTTAATACAATAATAGTTTGTTGGATGGGTTCTGTCCGTCGTGATTGTTGGTATAATTTACCTTGTTCATTTTTCTCTATTGAATGTACGTTATGATTTTTCTTTGTTTTAAAAAAGTAGAATTGTTTATCATTTTAATAATCACTGTGCATTTTATGTTCTTTTGAGATACATTACTATCGGTACTTTTACATGTATAACCAGGCATAGCCAGTCAGGAAATGGGAACTGAGAGTACGAATAATGTTTCTCCAAATCATAAACCTCTACCAGACTGCCAAAGAAAATTTGATGGTGACAAGGAATAATTGTCCTGAAAAGATCAAACCTCTTGAAATATTCGCACACGGTTCTAATTTCATCTGCAGAAAGTAAACATTACATTTTGTTCTTGGTTTGTTGAACTGTATAAGCCTGTTTTTACATCAGTGCCCTTTTCAACGGGAAGTTTTATGCAACAAAAACATTTAAGTTGTGTGGCAAATTGATAGGAAGAAACCTGCATCACTCCACTCGACAAAGCATTCTAAAAAAAAAAGTACCAACCAAAATACGACTCGCATTGGTTTTTTTCCACCTCGTGGGTTTTGCTCACGCCGTAAATGTAAGTCGTATTGAGTTGACGACTTACATTTTCGAGGTGAAAAACATCCCCATTTTTTCCATCGGAGCAGCGTATTCCGTTTAGGACTGTGCAATCGTTAGGGGGAATTGTCATTCTGACTTCCTGGTTTGATAATGCGCACATCTAATGATACTCGAAAGTTCAATGTCGTAACCTCTATGTGTGCATAATGTATACCCTCCGACCTCACGCATATTGGGTGTGTTGGAGTAGCTCACACGGATCGACTCGGGTAAAGGCAGACGGGTTAGCTACGACAGCCGGGCTAATCAGGCGAACGCTCATGAACCACGTACAGGCCATAACGCTCCTCGCTCGTAATGTCTGTACCAGCCGCGTCCTTAACCACTGACAACAAGTCCCGTTTCAAACTGGGTCTTATTTTGAGATTAACTGATTTTCAGTCAATTGCAAAGCTACAAAAAAAAAACACATTGGGCTGGAATTGTTACCTCTGAAGTCGCAATAAATAATTACCTTTAGACTTCAAGTAAAGTTTATTTCACTTGAGATTTCTGCTGTCCGGCTGCCATATTTGTCCGTTTCTTGGAATGAACATTTAACGCATGCGCGTGACGTATTCCACTACTGACTCTGCATGCTCCACCAGCAGTGTCTGTGCTGACCCAGGTGAGCCCCGAGAACCCAATCGATCTGCGCACCCTGCAGGATGTGTGATCTGGGTTATATAGCTACTCGAACGCACCATTAAAACCCTCCTATGCAAATGTACATTCTGTGCCAAGTAGTCCTTTCAGTCAAAATCAAACAAGTACTGCATGCTTTTAATGCGCCTATTAATTTTTTGTTCACTCTGATGTAGCGATTTTGCTACAGATTTTGATCGAGATTATCTTTACATCCAGGACAAAAATTTCCAAAGTTAAGGTTCTTAGTCGTAGAGCAACTCATACCTTTTCGAAAAAAAACGTTCTTTGGTCTCAATATTTTCATCCATCTGGCCAAAATACGACTTTCAGTCATCATCTTCCACAAATATCAGCCCGAAAATGTCCTCCATGCGATTTCAAAATGGCGGCCGCGTTGTAATGTATGCATTATGCGGGCGCGCTTGGGCAAGATAATGAATATGCATTATTTAGTTCATGACCTCGTGTTTGTATGGCCAGCCGCGCCGCGCGCCAGACAAACGTCATAAACTATGATGCATATTCATTATCTTGCCCAAGCATGCCTGCATAATGCAACATTACAACGCGGCCGCCATTTTGAAATCGCATGGAGGACATTTTCAGGACGATATTTGTGGAAGATGATGACTGAAAGTCGTCTTTTGGCCAGATGGATGAAAATTTTGGGACCAAAGAACGTTTTTTTCAAAAAGGTATGAGTTCCTCTACGACTAGGAACCTTAACTTTGGATATTTCTGTCCTGGACGAGAAGATAATCTCGATCAAAATCTGTAGCAAAATCGCTACATCAGAGTGAAAAAAAATTCAGTCTGTGGGGAAGCATTGAGCGTCTGGCCGTACTACAGAGCTTGCGATAGTACTGTACGGCCAGACGCAGTCGGGCTAAGTGTCAGTGCTAATCGTGCTGGTTTGGCTTTGTACACTTGTCTTGTCAGCATATTGTAGGCATATGAATTTCGCATTTACTGGAGAGATTGTGTTTCTTTTATCCATTTTGGATATTCACATATGGTTTAACGTTAAATCAGTTTGCTTGTGGATTTGCTAATAATAATACCACTTGGACCACTCACGCATTACACAATGTAATCAGCAAAGAAAATACTACACTTACAACATCCAATCCAGATCCATGCTGTAGTTGAGTCTCCAACAAAAGCCGGCCAGTTAGTTGAGAGTATATAACATAAATACTGCTGATTTATGCATCCGCCGTGTTGTGATGAAACATAAGGTGCGACGGTGAGCAATATTATTGCTCACTTTCGCACGGGGAAACCCCAAAACACATAGCCTTGTCTCCTGCCGTTTAACATTAAGGCTCCCATAAAAACGCATGATGGCTAAAGTCAACACACGGTCTAAAACCCCGAAGAAAGACCAGCGTTGGCTGTCTCGTTTCTCCGGGTATGGAGTGCCGATAGTTACAAATATTAAATGTATTTAACTTGTGAGTATATCCTAATGGCATACATTTTCATCATACAAGGCGCTTGATTTTTTTTATTGAACGACATTTCTCAGATTTTATAATAATTCATGGGAATTTCCAATTTTTTTTAATCCCCAATACATGTGTATTTGATAAAGAAAAAATCTCGCGGCCCTCTAAAAATGACTTGATTCGGGTAAAACTTTTCTTTTTGAGCCTTAATCTCATTCTTGTTTTCCAGTCTAGAGCTGCATCTTAAGAAAATAGATGTGGGACTGATTTTTTAAAGGAAAAAAGGAACAGTTTGCAACTTTGCAGGGGCCTTATTCATCATCCACGACAACCACGTGGATATATTACATGATGCAAATAATATACAATCAGCGGTACCCGCTGCTACATCAGATTCGAACCAGCCAGCCGACCCCGGTCAAGCTCGGTGGTCGAGTGGTATCTGCACAAGTAAGCGACAGGAGGTCGTGGGTTCGAGTCCAACCCAAGTAGTTTGTGAATTGTTCTCACAATAAAATACATTCAGCTGTACCCGCTGTTAATATCAGATCCGAATAAGCCAGCCGACCCAATCACTCGGGACAATGTAATATTCAATAAAGATATGTCGGTGAAGGAAAAAATCCAATATTATAAGCCTTATTTTAGATATCAAAACATTTGAAGACATGGGAAACCAGCTGTGGGGTACGATCATGTTATCTGTGGGGTTGTTCCAATGTTGGGAAATTGGCCGCTAGTTGACAACTCTTAGGACTTCAATAATTGCAGGCATACACGCTGTTTAAAATTAACAATATAACCAAAAATGTTAAGTACAGTTGTATATTTTGATCTGCTCCCAATTAAATTCGCATACAACAATGTTCATTGTGATAGTTTCCACTTGATTTTTTTTCATGCGTTACAAAACCTACTCTGGAGACTAATACATGGAGGAAGGCTATTATTAGAGATCAAGGCAACAATGTCACAATGAGTCATAGGTTGCAGATTGCAGGTTTTTCTCAAAGCCTTTCTCCATAAAATTTCAGCGAGAGCGACACAAACGTGTTTACAATCCAGAAAATCGATTCACATGCACAATCCGGAAGCCGAAACAAGATATTTTCCTCTTTTTAACCGAAGGCTCTTCTAAATTCGTTTCATACAAATAAGAACACGGCTACATGCATAATAAAATGCGATGATCACGGTGCTTATTACGCCTAAATGAAGGTCTTATCAACGATTACGCCACAAACTGATCAAGAGAAGAGCTCCAACACCAACTCCAAGAATAATGCCGGCCTCCGTCCAAGACAAACCCTCGTTATCATGCGAGGTGCTTCTCGGTATCCCCGGTTCACGGTAGTTGTATGAGTAGTCTTGGGAACGATACTGGTGACTCGGACGCGGTGGGGTCTGGGAGCGTCGAGCTGTGGACGAGGAGGGTCTGTTATGTATGGTGCTTCTGACAGCCTCTACTTCTTGGGAACGATGTTGGTGACTCGGATGCTGTGGGGCCTTGGCGCGTTGAGCTGTGGACGAGGAGGGTCTTTCGGGTATGGTGCTTCTGAGAACTTCCACCGGTACCTTCTTGCGAAACAGTTGGATGATCACATCACACGTACGCATTGGTTGGCATTCCAGAAGCCGACAATACTTTTTTATGGTTTGTGAATACGTACCTCTTGGCACAGTTTGTGCACCGCGGCGTTCAAATACCAGTTCCAGACCAACCCGGGATGCAAACTCCTGCTGAAAATGACCGTCGCTTACGTGTTCGTTGTCGATGAACAGCACAAAGCACCCCGGCTTTATATCACGGAGGAACGACCGGAGGAGATTGCCGCGCCTTGAGTCTTTTCGGAAGAAAGCGGATACCGCTGAAAAAGATTTCACAAAGGTGAGCATGTCAGCCTGTTTGATGAACTCCCGTACATCATTTAGAACCAATGTGTCGTTAACAACATTGCATGGTCGGTAAGCCACACCAACTCTGTCTGGGCATGGTATGTATTCCGAGATTGACATCCACGCGTCTTCCCAGCTAGGATACAGATCCAAGACCAGACACTCCAGCTTAGACGGGAAGATGTTGTTCTCACGGAGGAAGGTAGTCAGACCAACCAGGTCCGATCCAGGTCCTCCACCGATGCAGCACACCTTCAAGTTGCTCTTTCTCCGCCAAGCAGTCAAGATTTCTTCGGAGTTGATCTGAAGGGAGGTGCACACAAGATGGCAGTGCTGTAGCAAGTACAGGAATACATAGGCGCAGCGGTTGGCCGGATCATTCCAGTCAGTTCGATACTGGGACGAGGCACAAGAGAGTCTCTTTTGGTAGATTTCCCGGATACTTCCCAACGACTCTTTGATTCGGTCAGTCTTTGATGACCCATCCACTTGAGATAGAAGGTCATCGAGGACATTCGTCAAAAGACCACGGGCAAAGTCAGCAGCATGATGGACCTGAGGTGAATCCATTCTAACGATTCTGCGATCTTATTCTTAGTCATCAAAGAAGCAAACTTGGGATAATAAAAGCTTGCTCTCCGTTTTTGCACCACTGACGGAATGGCTTCATAATCAAGTGCATAGGCCTATAGTTAGTGCAGAGATACAAAGTTACGTTCATACGGACAATATTAATAGTTGTTCATTAACATTCAGGACTTTGGATCCAACGGCACTGTATTAATATGTTCTTTATCAGATTGCATGACAAAGTACATAATCAACAATATTGTCCGTTCCACTTCTAACTGCATTTGTGATATCACACATAATAACATTCAAAGATCAGTGTAGCCTACTTCACGAAAACGTGTACAGTTTTCTCCTTTAAGAATGCAGAGTAAAACTGAACCATATGCATTTTTGTGTGTGATTGAATGATTTTCAACCGCCAGATGTGATATACCATTACATTCATTACAACAACATCGAGTACTGTGCACAATTTGGTAAGTGGACTACGGTGTCATAATATTGATACACCACTGTTGAATTATTCTACGAATGTATGGAGCACCTTTCTTATTAAGATTGATAAAGCCGGCTGTGCCTAATAGTAATACCAGTTGCCTGATTTTGTCTATTTTGATAGTCACGGCGCCCCTTGAATTATGATCCGAGTGTTGGTGAGTTACCTGTGTAAAAGGCAAGGTACGGGTACAGGATTGAATTTTTGACTGTTTGTGACTGATAAAACAAAAGGAGGGTTAAGCCGGTCACATTCAATCCAGTCCTCAAATACCTTCGCCAAGACATAAATATATAACATATTAACAGACATAGTTCACTCGACTTTTTTTGCTCAAGTAGCTGTAGGCCTCCCTTGAGCACATTAAGGCCTATATATACGCCCGAGCATGTGCACACTATCATACGTCCATAATTTATGATCTTGACATCTGAACATCATCCCTCAGCACAGAGTGATGAATCATAGTGCTATATCTGTATTGCATGGGTTTTCCCCAGATAATGTTGCGAAATGGGCTCCGTAACTAGCTGCAACGCGTAGACATTACGTTTTAGTCATCGCGTGATGGCGATGTAGTCCGTATAAAAATGTACACAGTTACAACGAATCGTCATTTCATGCAATCCTCTCACTGAGAAGGGCTCACAATATGGCTCACAGTAATTGTGATCAGGTCAAAATGCTTTCCGTTTTGACTGAACTGGCTAAAAAAGATAAAGATTTAATGGATGCTTTGCGGGAATTTCTGAAAAATAAATGTGCAATAGTACATTTTGTCGACATCGTCGAAAACTATTTCAGACGTATTGACATCGATTCATCACTAGGGCTTTTTGTCCAGTTGATAACAGTGATGTACGGAAAACATCTTGGGGACACAAACACGAGACCCAACTGGAATGCTGTCAGTAACCGTCGTGCATACATCGCTCGATTCTTCATTATGCACTCCTACATGGTGTACTGTGGGTTACAGAAATCCCTCGCAGATCATCGGTGCATCATTGAGGACTGGGGGAGGCAAGGCCACTTTCACGTCTGCTGCATCGGCGGGGGACCTGGTTCGGACGTGGTTGGAGTGGTGAAGTTTCTTCAAGACAGCAAGCTGTTTACTCCTGCTGCCCGTTTCCAGTGCACGATACTCGATCTGTACGTGGACTGGAAAAACGAATGGGACATCATACAGAGGGCCAACTCCGATAAGCTCCCAGTGAACATGACATACTTACTAAGCGACATGAAATCGAAAGTCGCCTGCCTGAGCGCCGCTGGGCTGACTGCAATCCGATCAGCAGACATCGTCACCATGATCAAGTCATTCTCGCCCGTGGCTGCCTTCATAAGACGGGACCCCACCCACGGGAACCAGCTCCGACAGGTGTTCCAAGAGATGAAACCCGGCGCTGTGGTGCTGTACATCGACAACCGCTACGGCAGCCAACACGAGGAATTCCGCGGGATCGCTCGCTCGGGAGGTGTACGAGATTGTCTGTTTGAATGGCACGGAAAACTTGCCATGCCTACGTTGGGTGCGTCGGCTTCCATACGGAGCATTTCCAGCAGAAATGGTGTGAAGCCTAAGACCAGCTGCTTGGTATCGATAATGCTCCTGCGAAAATAATGTGACACTGGATCTTGCCATCTGGGTGGTTGACAATAATAGACACATTCTTCTTAAGACATCAGTTTGTTTTGTAATATATAACTGCCGTAATTATCATATAATATGCTTGGACTTTGTGGTTGATATTTTGGTGACCTTTGCTGGATGGAGAAACTGTGATTTTCATTGCTTCAGGTGCTTTGTAAGTAGAGCGATATAGAGAATTATTTCAAATTACATAAATAAATAAAATTCGGTATATTATCAATTGCATGTTCAGAAGATTGTTTCGTTAATTGTAAATACATTGTACATAACATTAATGTCAGACAACTTACCGGGTGTTTACCTTTTTACAAATGACAAGAAATGGTAGTACCGTGGTGCTTGTGGACTTGTATTATTTTTGTATAGTTACATTACTCCGTTTATTGAACTCGTATCCTCATAAGTATATGTACATGTATGTATCTATATAAAATAGTGCAATTAATTTTATTATATTTTATGTGGCCTTGTATTATTTTTTTATAGTTACATTACTCCGTTTATTGGAATCGTATCCTCATAAGTACATGTACATGTATGTATCTATATAAAATAGTGCAATTAATTTTATTATATTTTATGTGGACTTGTATTATTTTTGTATAGTTACATTACTCCGTTTATTGGACTCGTATCCTCATAAGTACATGTACATGTATGTATCTATAAAAAAAATGCAATTAATTTTATTATTTATTGCTAGTTTTCTTTAAGTCAGGTTAATTCCTACTGGTTTGACATTGACACAGTTATTTCGAATCTCAAATACTATTCCCACAAGTAATCGGTGATCACAGTGTAATTTTAAACTGTCATCCATTCCCGAGTGGATATGATAAAAGACCATTATAAAAAAGAATGTCTTTCCACTTCGACAAAGCGGCATAACTATATTAAGGTTAAACTGTTGGGATGCATCGGTTTTTCAAGGGGGCACTAAAGGCAAATGAAACAGTTTATTTTAATAGTGCAATGTAATGTTTTTAAATTTAAGATTTCAATTTGGGGGGGGGGGGGGGGGGGGTTGGGGCACGGACATCCGCTTGGGGATGTGCCCCTCGTTTCGTTACTGCTTACATGCCTTCTGGATACTTTTCAGGAAATTGATTCTAGGTACAACAGGTGTTTTTTTTAGGTTCTTTTTACTTTAACCTTAACATATTCAGAATTTTTTTCATCGATTAAGTAATATTGTATTTTTGTATTCAAGCTAAAGTATGTACAATTTACGAAAAAAATAAATTTTGTATTGTACTAAAATGCACACTTGTCTTTTATTCAACCTGTTTTATTGCTGTCAGTGTCGATAAGTTAATAGCTTAAATGGGCAGGCACATATTTTAGGACATGGAGACTTGGGCGTCGCCAGGATGTTTCTAGAGGGGGGCAAAGCACATTATTTCCAAAAACCATTGTACTTTCTCTATAGCATGTTCTCAATTTTTTTTTTTTTTCCGAGGGTGCATGGCGCAAGGGCGGATCCAGTGGGGGGGGGGGGGGGGGCAAAGGGGGCCATGCCCCCCCCCCAAAAACGAAACCAATTTTTTTTTTATGTGACATCGCAATAAAGGCAGGCAATGAGTACACCACCATCTTTTCCTCAAAAAAACATTGGTTAAAGTGGTCAGAAATTGCCTCAGATCGCACCACAGAGCATCTAGAATCCAAAAAAAAATTCGGGGCCCTTAAGCGGGCCCCGAACCCCACGCCGTAATTTTTTTGACCCACTTTTTTGGGGGACCAAATTTTTTTTTTTTTGGCCCCCCAAAAAATTGTGTTCTGGATCCGCCCTTGGCATGGCGGGGGACATTTGCCCACCCCACTCTGCATTGACACCCCTGCGGACGCCCAACGTTGTTATTGCAATCATGCGTGGAGAGGATAAACACAAATTACCAGATTTCCCTTTATCCATCGCGACTCTCTCGGAGCTGCATTGGGAATTATTTGTTCTGATTATGCATATAGCATTAATTTTACATCATGCATTGTGATATGACTCAATACATGCTCTCGCTTGGGAAATCCCCAAACGTCTAGCCTTACATCACCAGCCGCCATACACTGGCATCAGAAATAGTTACATGGCGCAAGTCAAAACGGTCTATAAATCCTCGAAGGAAGTCTAGCTTGCGGCGGATGTCTCTTTTCACACTCGCGGCATTGGATGGGAAAGGTCATGAGTGGCTTGTTTGATTAATATTCACTCATACCCGCAATAATGGGGAAAATCTGCAATCATATAACTCAATAAAATTAGACGGTCTTTGGATCCTATCATAATCTTTATCAAAGGTAAAACAACAATGGTACATGGATTGCATGGATGGGTGGAGGGAAAAACACAGTGACTACGCAATGACATTGGCCTTTCAAAAGGCGAATGCTGGGCGATTGCATATTTTTTTGTCATTTCTGTAATGAGGCTCGGGATTTCCCCAGAAGTTGAAACGCGGCGATGCGGTTTCGTTTAGGATATGAGGGAATGGGCTCAGTATAAAAACGTGTGCAGGCTTGGAATGACTCGCAGATAGAAAAGGAGTTCAAAATGGCCAGTGTTCAAGGATATTCGACCGATGCGTTCAAGGAACTGAATCGAACACTGAAAGGAATCTCGCTGTCTGTATCTTATATGCATCAGTTACTTCAAGTTACACTAGAAAACCTTGACGTGGCACATGCAGCAAAACATTTTGGCGACACCGCCGAAAGCTTTTTCAGCTGTATCGACACCGATGCTGGAATAGGGTCTTGTTGGAAGTCGATATCGGATATATACCGAAAATGTCTTAGGGACACAAGCAGGAGACCCGATTGGAGTAATGTCAGCAACCGTCGTGCATACATCGCGCGTTTCTTCATGATGCAATCCCACATGGTCTACTGTGGGTTACAGAAATCCCTCGCAGATCATAGATGCATCATTGAGGACTGGGGGAGGCAAGGCCACTTTCACGTCTGCTGCATCGGCGGGGGACCTGGTTCGGACGTGGTAGGAGTGGTGAAGTTTCTTCAAAACAGCAAGCTGTTTACTCCTGCTGCCCGTTTCCAGTGCACGATACTCGATCTGTACGTGGACTGGAAAAACGAATGGGACATCATACAGAGGGCCAACTCCGATAAGCTCCCAGTGAACATGACATACTTACTGAGCGACATGAAATCGAAAGTCGCCTGTCTGTGCGCCGCCGGGCTGACTGCAGTCCGATCAGCAGACATCGTCACCATGATCAAGTCATTCTCGCCCGTGGCTGCCTTCATAAGACGGGACCCCGCCCACGGGAACCAGCTCCGACAGGTGTTTCAAGAGATGAAACCCGGCGCTGTGGTGCTGTACATCGACAACCGCTACGGCAGCCAACACGAGGAATTCCGCGGGATCGCTCGCTCGGGAGGTGTACGAGATTGTCTGTTTGAATGGCACGGACAACTTGTCATGCCTACGTTGGGTGCCTCGGCTTCTGTGCGGCGCATTTCCGGCAAAATTGGAGTGGAGCCAATTACCAGCTGCTCGGTATCGATAATGCTCCTGCGAAAATAATGTGACAATGGATACTATCATCCGGGTGGTGGATTGAACAATACAGACATTGTTAGAAATCAATTAGTAATAGCTGATGTTATTATAACGATTTTTCTTCGTGGTTGATTTGGTGACATTAGACATTTGTGACATGTAAATCGTCTCGGACGTATCTTCGTTGTTTGAAATGCTACGTGAGTAAAAAGATAAGGAATTATTTAAAATTAAATCATAAAATTTTAAATTTGGTATAATTGGAATTGCAAACTGTACATAAAATTGATGTAGGAAAACTAACCGGAATATTTACCTTTTTACAAATTTACCAGAAGTGATCGATAGTACATTGTTGCAATAGCTTATCCGATTCGACATCATCATTCC